GATTAATTCATCCATGTCTTGTGAATTTGTTACAGTGTTCTTAAGTATCAGGAGCCCGTTTTACAAAAGGACTTACGACTTAAGACCAAGTTTAATTATTCATATAAGTTTTTAATTAACATTATATCAAAAATTATTTTAAACTTTTTAAATAGAATTTGGTAAGATATTTTTACACAGACAATTTCAAACAGAACAATTAATTTTGCAAAATTTTACTATAATCTGAAATTTTTGGTCTTAGTCGTAAGTTCTTTTGTAAAACGGGATCCAGTATCTCATGATGACTCTGGAGTTAAAGAAAGTATAATCTAGCTGAGATTCCTTCTGAGTTAGAGGAAACTCAGATTAAAGAAAGTAATGATATATTTTTAAAATTTGTCATTTTCGTGTCTGAATCAATTTTTCCTTTCTTTTTACTCATTGATCTGTTAATTTTTAAACCAAGAATATAATTTTCAATCCGCTTTTGCCTCTCAGTGCTTAGATATTAATTTTCAATCTGTGAATAAAATCAATGATGAGCCCTTGTTTTAATAAAACGAACCGTTTTTGTAGCCCATTCGACAGTGTTCGACGCTTGAACATGCTCTCTCATCTGTCAGACAGTTTTAAATCAATGATAGTTATTTATCATTTCTTTTTATGCCATTTGAGTTTACATAAAAAACAAATGCACAATGAAATTGCAGAGAACTTACCCTTTGATGTCTCACTAGCTTCTGAGATGAAAGGCTCTATTTCGTTTGTATTCAGCATTCGCTGCATTGGAAATCGATTCCAACCGGAAGTGACAGTTTGGTAAACAGTAGTCTAGTTCCCATGGACGAAGCATAAGAGGAACAGAGAACCAGACTTTGTGCCAAAAACTTGCAGTGGCGCAATTTAGAAAATCTGCCCTGGAGTGCAAATATTCCACTTCTGATTAAAGATCTCCGATTAATTATTGTACTCTTCAATTCTGAATTAATTTATTTGATCAGCAATGCAACTGATAGGTAAAATAATTGATTGATTGTATGTTGTTTAACGTCCCTCTCGAGAATTTTTTTTCACTCATATGGAAACGCCACCACTTGGCGGTGGAGAGCTGCACATATTTGTCCTATACTCGGCACTTAGGGCCATTGAGCAGGGAGGGTAGCACCTACTGCGACACGGGACCTCGGTTTATACGGCCTCATCCGAAGGACAGGTCTTTATATACGTCCCACATTGGGATTCGAATCCCCGATGTTACAAGGATCAAATCCTTACTTCGCGACTCTAGAGCAGACGCTCTTAAGGACCACTGCACCACGCGGGCGACGGAGAAATAATTGATTTGATGTTCGTATAATACATGATATAAAAGATTAGACCGGGAATCAATCCAAGGACTCCTAGGCCTGCAACGACAATCAGGTTTGAGCTCTGCCAATAGAGGTATCCAAGCCAATAACCACGGATCAATTAACCTCTTACATTCCTCCAGATCCAAACTCCTAATTCATGTGCAATAAAGCTCAATATTGGTGCAAGGCACATTACCAGTGTTAACGGAAGAAGAAGAATAGGACCCATCTTAATTTGTATTTACCCAAGTTATTTTTGACCCTGGTAAGACTTTCACCTGCAAGTGCTCAATCATACCGAATCATATACTAAACAGGAATAGAAGAAAATGTCTGGCTGGATCGGTAGTCGAGCCCAGGATCCCTGCATCACTAGTCAAGTGCTCTACCAACCGAGATATCCGATTTTACATACATTTATATACATTTTCTCACACCTACATGTAGTCATCATCTCGAGAGTAATCGCATCCTTTCTGACCAGAAGCGTGGCTTTCGAGAGAGACAAACATGTGAAAGTCAACCGATCACAACAATCCGTAATCGGACAAGAAATCTTGACCAGTGCCATCAGGTGGAGGGTGCAAGGGTTAACCATCAAACTGCATGGACTACGGTGTGATAGGACAGACATTGAACTAGACCCAAAACTTTCTTGAATAGAAGCAAGCTAGTAGTCTGGATCTGATTGATGGAGAGAGGCTAACTGTAACAACTGGAATATCCCAGAGCATGTACTTGCTCCCCTGCTGTTTCTGCTCTACACCAATGGCCTACCAATAACTTCCATGTTGTGACAAATCCACAACAAGGCCTTTTGCAGACGATTGCCTGCTGAACCGTGGAGGAGTCACGACCACTCTTCAGTGAGACCTAGTAGACCAACTACAAGAAAAAATGGAAAACTGACTGGATGTCGTGCTAGCTTAAACCCTGAAAAGTATTGGTAATTTATACACATCACCATAAAATGCATAGAGACACGTATTTGATTATTTTAAAGCCAGTTATTCCATTAAATTACCATATGTGAAGTAATGACCTGCATGGCTATCAACTCTTTACTCGAGGGCCTTACAGTATCCCAGCAAGGGAAAATGTGTCTTATAAAATCTCCTTTCTGGGATAATGACGTGAGGTACGCTGTTTTCCCATCATGAATCTGGAATTTTCCATTGGTATTCTTATGGTTGGAATATGATGGTAAGTATGGGAGATACTGACGATGAATCTGTCATCAAGAATCTGGTTGATATGTTTCCCGGTTCACTTGCCTTGTGAGTGTTGAGGTTAGTTGAGTACACCCTATTCTGTGATTGATGCTTTATATTAATCGCTTGGTAGGTTGATTGACCAAGGTAACGTACCGACTCTGTTTGGAAGACACATGAAAACTGTTGGTTCAAGATATCTGTGTGATCGTTTGGGCTGGAATGAAGTAAAACCTCGTTCTGCAAAGGATCTAGACACACATAAACTGTCTCATCGCTTTCTTTTGATGTACGAGTTTAGCTTTTTTGTTTTTTGAGCTCTCTTCTCCAAACACATTGTTGATAATTTTGAGATTCGACTTCGTATACTATTTGTTAGTGAGCCTCACTATACTTCCTCCAGTTATTTTGGGATTTTGTTACGGAGAATTTTCTATGTGCTTGTCGTTTCATTAAAATACTAAGTCTCCGGATGTTTTGACCTCACCATGGCTGATTGAAAAAGCTAGAAATGATATTTGATGGCACATGAGTTAACGGAATGGGTGCATTCCATATCACATCTGTTGGAGACTAGTGGAAGCAATGTTACCGAAATTTTGCCAGATTGTCTTCCAAATAATGATGCTTTGGCTTCTGCTTTAGACCAAAGATGCATGAGTCTTCTTGCTGAGTGATGTCGGAGGGGCACAATAAACACAGCGTTTATTTTTTTTTTTAATACAATATCATAATCATTTATTCCTGTAAGAAGTCTTGTTTCTCTGAGAAGGATGGTGCATTTGTCAAGGATGTTGTTACCAAGCGTTGGGAAGTCGATGACTTGCTGACACCTTAGGTTGCTGAAGGTGTCTATAAATTGTTGATCGAGTTGATGGATAGTTATTTCCCTTAACTGAAGTACATGCCCTGTTGATATCGGGAAGATTTTTTTTATCTTTGAAATAATTTTTATCCTAAAATATAATTTTTGATCAACTTCCAAATCAGAAGTGCGTAAATGGAGCTTTATTAAAAATATTTGAAATGTAATAATTTTTCATATTATTTACAATAATGAAAAAATTAACATTAAAATTTCCAAATTTACGTAATTTGGTGAATTCAGAGACATTTTGGTGAGACTTTTCAATTATTTTACCACTGTTTTTAAGAACTATAGGATCGGACAACCATGACCCATGAGATTTCTTTAGAAAGAAACAAAATTTGGGATACCCAAACAAACTACACAGTGATTCCCTATATTTATATTACGAGGCAATCAAACTCAAAAGTCTATTATAACAATTCAAATTGGGAGCAAAGCAAACACGGATCTCTAAGACCATCAGAGACCGGATCAGGTGCCTCGGAAGAGTAAACATTCCCTGTCGACCGGTCACACCCGCCATATACTGGTACTCCTTTCATTATATCAACATCACAGCTATTTCCATGTCATTTTAAAAAGAGAACGATTGCGTTTAACTGAAAAATAAAACGAATAAAAATGTTTGATTTCATATCCGATTATTTTTTTTATAACTGAACTAAGATTATCTTGCTAAATATACATTTATAATTTACTGAAAACCATCGTTGGAGACCGTCTGTGAAATCGCTTAAATCAATACAGGGAACAAAAATCTTTTTTAACTTTTAGCAATAGTAATTCTTTCCATCCTTTCATAAAATAAACTAGGCGATAAAGCTTATCACAATAAAGTACTCCCCAGCACTTAATTCGTATTGTAAGTTAGAATCAAGCCATTACTTTTGATTGAAATTGCAGAATAGGAAGTCGGTCATTTTCGTCAACCTAATGAAAAACATCGATTACAAATGAATACTTCTGGAAAGACAAAGTGTTGTTTTGCAGAATAAATATCAGAATATAGATTGTATTGGAGCTAACATTACTTTATAAGGTCAGATAGAAATTTAAATATCATTAAGTGACATTACCAGCAAAAGCATCTTCAACAGTATTGAGAGCCATGGACTAGGTAATTCATTATCATCATCAAATAACAAAAACACACTATTCTTATGAATGGAAATATAAATGTTACCCTATGCAACTTTTGTGAATTTCACCATTATTGATGGATATCGGACAAAAGAGAGTAGGAATTTTGTTAGACATCATCGTGTTCCTCTTTTTTCTCATCCAAGTCCGTCAAACTTACAATCTTTACGATGAACTGGATCTGCAATCCACCTTATTCAACTCTACATACGACAGAAACATCCGACCAGGGATTAATAGGGACATCCCATTACAAATTGATACCAACTTCATCTTCAAAGGTATTAAAGAGGTGGACGAATCCCTTGGAAAATTCTCAATTACGGGGGCTTTGAATGTCTATTGGTTTGATGATCGTTTGACTTGGAATCCGCAAGACTACGGTGGGAATTTAGAATCAATTCTTGTCCCACAAAAAAGATATGGGTGCCATTTCTTCTTAACATGCATGCTTTTGGTGAAGTAAAATATACTGGACACGAGGAATTGACAGTAAGAGTAGAAAGTAATGGAGCTGTATCGTGGTCAATTCCAAACCTTTACGAAAGTACATGTCAGTTCGATTTGTCAAACTACCCTTTTGATTCTCAGACCTGTACGGTACCGTTCTACGTGACCTTATTCCGACCATCAGAAATATTTTTTAATATATCACGTAATATCGCAAACATGTTGATATACAGCCCAAATGGACTGTGGGATGTCACAGAAACCCAAATTTACACCACAATTAACGCAATCCAATTTCAAGAGGTTCGCCTAACCGTTAGTATGAAAAGACGATCTGCCTACTATATATCTAGTTTAATCCTTCCAATCTGTTTTCTTTCCTTCCTCCAGTTATTTGTCTTTATGATGCCGCATGAGTCTGGTGAACGTGTTGGATTTGCTGTCACCGTCTTGTTGGCTGTTGCTGTCTATCTGACGCTCGTACAAGACAAATTGCCAGAGGATTCACAGCCAAGCGTGGCCTACCTTAGCTACAAACTTTTGGTTGACTTTATTATAGGTATATTCAACGTGGTGGGAGTTATAATGGGATTGCGCTTTTATCATCGCGAGGAGGTTGATGTTTCTAAGCTTTCACAGCTGTTTTACAGAGTAATGTTCCGCCAAAGTTACAGAAGGAAAGTTAGAGACGTTGAAAAATTATCTGCTGAAGATGTTACTGGGATCAACACCACGTACGCATTGACGTGGAAGGACATCGGTATGGCCATCGATCGCTTCTGTTTCATTTTAAGTGGTCTTTCCCTGGCATTGTGTAACTTAGTTTATTTCATAGTTGTTGCATCATGATTCAAATAATGGGCCATACACAAGAAATAGAAATACAGTAAAACATGGATATAGCGAATTCACGGATATAGCGAAGTTTTTCTGGGTCCCCGGCAAAATTCTTAACAAATCTTTGTAAAATTTTACGGTTATAATGAACTCTGATATAACGAATTTACGGATATAGCGAACTGATTTTGAGTCCCGTTGGGTTAAATATAATGAAATATACATCTTTTATAACGAACTTTCAAAGATTATAAAAAGTTTGATAAATTGAACTGACTTTATTTCCGTTTAGCATTTGTATATAAAATTCAATTCATAATAAAACCTAAGTTATCGAAGATAAGTTTTGCAATATATTTGCTTCCCTAACATATTTGGTAATAATACCTGAAGGAAAACATGCATATTGCGAATTCGCTATAATGGTTATACAAATTCGTTATACGGATATAACGAATTACGGATATAGCGAATTTTTCATTATCTTATCACCACATCGTGAAGTAAAAATCTAAGTCAAATTCATCTTCGAATCGAACTATTCTCATTCAAGATTGTTCTTGCTTTCTTGTTAATTTTTCATTTCTTATCACTTTTTGGAACTTACACTCTTTGAATTTTACTTTCAAGATTCTTTACGATACTTTTAATTAAACATTAGCAATAAATAGCACGATATACAAGGATCTGGAGTCAGCATTTACACCAAAGTGTACTAAATTAAGACTTTAAAACCTAAGATTTAGCACATCTCTTCCACTATCAAGATCTCGCCTGATTCTCAGGTTTGCAATATTTTTGTCGTCAATCGTTCACGCTGCAATGACTGTTTTGCTGAATGTCCAATCACCTACCTCAGAATTTTAACGTCAAATACTAGTACGCAGACCGAATCAAGAATGAAATACAAATGTAACTATTTTTTTAATGTATGACTTGCCTTCTGGTATTATATGAGGTGAAATCATCACAAAGACAACATTTAGGGATTCATGCTTTTTCTGTCAATATGCCTATGATCCAAAAAAAAATTTCGGACTGTTTTATCAGTCGTGTGTTATCATCCCGCAGATTCTAAAACTTAATTGGTCCTGTAACTGATGAACAATCTTCGAAGAATGAAAACGACAAAGTTTCAAAATCTGATTGATTTTAATTCTAGTAATCTGGACAATAGTAGTACTTCACCAGAAAAGATGAATTGTTTTATGGACTTTTCATCTTGAATACTGTTCGTTTTCTGCATGTTTCATTGCACATGGGGTTTAAGTTAAAACAAATTCTAATTGCACACACAAGTACTCTGAAGTTGACATCAAAAAGATGCTTAAGTTTCTGATTGACAATATCTATGTGGTTTTTTGAAACCAGGTATTTCAACAATCTGTTGGAATTCCCATGGGTACCAATTGCGCTCTGTTATTAGCAGACCTATTTTTATATCCATATGAATCAGAATTTGTGCAAAATCTAATGCGTGAAAAGAAGAAGACACTTCCTGTGGCCTTCAACTCGACATTTAGATATATCGACGACGTATTGTCAATTAACAATAGTAATTTCCATTCCTACGTCGATAGGGTATATCCTGATGAGCTTGAGATAAAAGATTAGAGTCTGATACATCTGTTTCATACTTTGATATTTTACTTGAAAAAGACGTTAGTGGTAATCTAACAACCAAGCTATATGATAAACGCGATGACTTTAACTTTTCTATCGTCAACTTCCTTTACTTATGCAGTAATATACCTTCATCACCTGCATACGGAGTCTATATATCTCAGTTGATTCGATAAGCAAGAGCATGCTCTACGTATGAACAATTTCTAAAACGGGGTAAATTATTATCAAGCAAGTTGATGAAACAAGAATATCAACAGTCTCGTTTAAAGTCATCATTTCGTAAATTCTATGGTCGATGCAATGACATTGTCAGCAAATACAATTTATCATTGAGACAAATACTGACTGACATTTTTCATGCTTATTGTTAGTCCATTATTTATACACTGAATTGATGACGGATTTTTCCGTTATTTCCCGATCATGACAAGGAGCACACAGCGGGTGTGACCGGTCAGCAGGTGATGCTCACTCCTCCATGGCACCTGATCCCACCTCTGATGTTTCGGAGGTCCGTGTTTGCTCTGCTCCTATTTTGTATTGTTTTATGGACTTTGATATTGAATACTATTCGTTATCTCAATATCCTTCTCTCATTCGATAAGCTAAATGAGGTAAGTTATTGAGAAATATAATTATGAAACACGAATATCAACAGTGTCATTTGAAATCATCACTTTAGGATCGATACAATGAACTTGCCAGGAAATATAATCTATCATAATGTAAAATGCTGACTGAAGTTTTTCATGCTTATTGTAAGACCATTATTTACACACTGAATTGTCGAAGAATTTTCCTGTTATTTCCCGATCAATGACCAGGAGCATACGGCACAGGGGGCACTCCTTTGTGGCACTTTATCCAACTTCTGAAGTTTTAAAGGTCTGATTTTTCTGATTCATAATTTGTACTGTTTAATGGTCTTTTAATTTTGAATACTGTACGTTTGTTATCTGCATATATTTCATGTCTTTCAAATTACATCTTTGCATTCTTTCAAATTACATCTTATTTGATTTATGCGAGATTTCAACATTCCTTTGCAATTTCTCGCCCCTTGTCAAAGTCCTTCTTTTTATGTTTTGCACAGCCCCGGCGTAATCTTCCTCAGAATAAAAAAATAGTTTAAAATTGTTATACATATTAAAAGATTAGATTTTCCAAAAGTTTGACTTTTTAAAAATAAATGCCGGCAAGTGATTTTAATATAAAATCCTACTTTTATTTTTATGTAATTCACCATTTATGACGTGTCGAACACAACATATAATTTTCATGCATGTCTCCAACCTGCAACTGGTTCGATACGCAAGATACTGCTCTCTATATCAATTTCTACACCGAGACAAGCTTATGGAAAACATGTTGATAAAACAAAGAAAAGTTGGCTCGTTTAAAGTCAACATTTAATTCAATAACTGATTTTTCTGTTCGCTTGATCATGACAAGGAGCAAACAGAGAATGAGTGCTGTCAACAGGGAATGTTTACTGCACTTTGACATCTGATCCCACATCTGATGATATTAGATGTCCGTGTTTCCTTTACTCCTGATTTATGTTGTTTGACTTTGATTATTTTCTTTTTTTTATCTTTCATTGCACTAGATTTTAGATTTAGCCTATTCACAATTGCAAGTAGTATACAGGATCATATTCCATTTTAGTATCTTTTGGTGAAAAAAAATCACGGTGCATTTTGATATCATCATCTCAAAGGCAAATCAAAATATGTGTATTTTGGTTTAAATAAAGGTATTAAACCCTTAACCACTTTATTAGAAATTATAAATATATCCAGGTAGGAATTTAAATATCCGTGAACAAAAGAGAATAATGTAACTTACTGCTTTGCGTCATCCATAATGTCATTTATAGGCGGGTCATGTGACAAACCCATTATTAATTTCATTGTAAGAATCCACACAAGACCAGGACAGAAACCCTTGAAAACAAAACCTAAAAATGTACCTTTGATATATGAATTCAATGAGTTGTGCCGAAATTTTTTTTTCCTGCGCTCTGCATGCTCTGATTCGCCCCTTTTCGTACATATATATATATATAAATAAAATTTAAACAACCTACTTTATTACTTAGCTGGTGTCCATGTTAAAATACAGTTTTCTTGCTTAATGGGGGACAGACTGAAGAGCGCAAAGGGTGTATCCCACATCTTAATAATCCTCTTTGGTGTGATCCCTATTTCGCTGACTTACAGTCTTCACAACGAGTTGGACCTCCACTCCGCTATATTCAACTCTACCTACGACAGAGATATTCGACCAGGGATAAACAGGGACCTCCCGTTACAAATTGATACCACCTTCATCTTAAAAAGCATCAAAGATTTAGAAGAATCCACCGGTAAATTCTCAGTAACGGGGGCTTTGAGTGTCTATTGGATCGATGATCGTTTGACATGGAATCCAAATAACTATGGTGGGAATCTCCATTCCATCATTGTTCCACAAAAGAAGATATGGATACCCTATATCCTTAATATGCATGATTTTGGTGAAATTAAATATACCGGGCATAGTGAATTGACTCTGAGAGTAGAGAGTAATGGCTTTGTTGTATGGAATATTCCAAATCTTTACGAGAGTACGTGTGACTTTGATTTGTCTAAGTATCCCTTTGATTCTCAGACTTGCGTGTTACCGTTCTATGTAGTAGGATTCGGTCATGCAGAGGTATTATTTAATATCTCAGAAACAAATAAGATAGCAAACACGTCAATATACAGTGAGAATGGTCTTTGGGCTGTTACAGGAACCCAAATTTACACCACAATCAACGAACTTGATTTTCAAGAGGTTCGCGTAAGTGTTAGTATGAAAAGACGATCAGCCTACTATATATCTAGTTTAATCCTTCCAATCTGTTTTCTTTCCTTCCTCCAGTTATTTGTCTTTATTATGCCGCATGAGTCTGGTGAACGTGTTGGATTTGCTGTCACTGTCTTGTTGGCTGTTGCTGTCTATCTGACGCTCATACAAGACAAATTACCAGAAGCTTCACAGCCCAGCGTGGCCTACCTTAGCTACAAACTTTTGGTAGACTTCATCACAGGAATATTTGTTGTGGTCGGAGTTATTGTGGGGTTGCGCTTTTATCATCGTGAAGAGGAAAAGGTAATTCCGAAGGTTTTTCAGCTGTTTCACAGAATATTGTTTCCCGGAACTTTCTTGAGCTCACTGCTGAGGAGGAAGCCGAAAGTGACGGACGACGAGAAGGTTTCTTCTGATGACGGGGCCGTGAACATGGAATATAGTACAACGACGTGGAGTGATGTAGGAAAGGCCACCGACCGATTCTGTTTAATTTTATCTTGTCTTTCTTTTGTGCTATGTAACTTCGTTTACTTCATTGTCGCAACTTCTTGATACTGGTAGTTTAATTAATTTTTAACATACAAAAGAAAGGACAGTTTTTTTGGTTTATATTTATTAATAATTTAATTCTGGTTGTAACGCTGTATTTGATTGGATAAAAAATTTACTTCATATCGTATAAAATACGTCACAATGACTTACGTCAAAAACGTATCAATCCGCCTGACGTTACATTCAAATTTTGTCCAGATTATCATTTTTTTGACAAGATCTTTGTTTCTTACATCAAATGAATGAAAATTAAATTATAAGCAATGAAGATGTTCCATTTTATACTATATTGTGTTCAGTTTACTTTTTTATAAAATTTGTACTAAAATTTTGTATAAAAGATATACAATAAAATGAAAAATTTATACTTATATTAATATCTATTGAGTGTTCATGTATCTTTATATGACAAGAAGTGCATAGCTCTTCCTTTACTATATTGTGTTCTACTGTAAAATTTGTACTAAAATTTTGCATGATATACAATAAAATAAAAATTTAACAATGACACATTCCCGTTATTCATTTTTTAACCTTTGAAAATATAGTTGTGCTATGATTTCTAGTATTAATTTCGCTTTTAGATCTACATTATTGACACTAGGGGTATAATATATGAAAACATGGAAGCTGAAGAGTGTTAACATTTTCCCGTTTATGGGTTGCTTTTTTGTAAGTAATAAATTCAAAAGATAAGCATCTTTCTGCAACGAAATTATGCTGAAGTCAACTACGTATTTACAGGCAGGACGATGAATGATGACCCGTAACTCAATGGGGCCTTCTACAGACACTTTTGTATATATTTTTTTGGCTTGGAAATGAGAATGAGAATCGCCACAAAATAGAATTTTTCTTTTCGAATTTGGTTTCGGAAATCTTGACAAGCGAGGGGTTACAGTATTAAGGTTACCGTTCTTCCGTCTTTCCTTTTGTATCTAACATGTAGTTTAACTGTAGAATTCACATCTTTATCCTTCTTTACTATTTAATGACATTTAAATAGACTCAGAATCCTCATTACAAAGTGCCATCATGTATTTAATGTTTTGATTGAACAGATGATTGAGGTTTTCCTTAGCAAAACATGGACATTCCATTCTATCTTTAACATATAGGTGGTAGCCATCGTTGTTCATCACCGTCCATTTTCTCATTACATATAGGTGATAGCCATCGATGTTCTGGAACTTCTACTATACCAATTAGACTTTCCAAGATTCGTTACAAAGTTACATTTTGCACCTCTTTGCGCCTCTTCTGTTTGTTTTAATTGGACAGACAACTTTGAAGATGTAACAATGTAGCCCTATTTATTTGTATTTGATGTTTTCAGAGGAGGGCTACAATTCAGAGAAAAAATCATAATGTTGCAAATATTTACATATAAGATAAGGCAAAATGGAGGCAAAAATAAATTATTTGCATTCAATTTTAATGGAATGGATTGTTCACTTTCAACAACTAAGCCCCTATTGCGCAATAAAGAAGGTGAAATAAAACTGCATGTTTACCACTTGTGTCTTGCTCTGTATAGCCATTCAAGTTCTTCTCTCAAGGGGAGAAATGTAATAGAAAGGCTTGAAAAGGTAAATGCTTTTGTTGATAAAAGTTATGATGTTGAAATACACGGTATAAAACACGTTATAAAATAATAAACTAAGAAATGGATAATTCTGTAATTTTTGGATCAACTCAGACTTTATTTCATGATTTGTATTTTTGAGTTCTGACATGAAATGGCAATAAATTAAAAAGATACCAATAATTTGAGTCAAATCAAAGTCTCAAAAGTCTTTCAGAATTTTTCTCACTATACCTAACAGTCATTTCTATTTTAAAGCATGTCCTCTCTAAGGAAACAAACAGAAACAAACAAAGCACAATTCTTTGTCCTAGCACCTTATAGACGTCCCTTTAGATGAGTCAGAGAATTACTGCTGAATGGCCCTATACTAGTAATTAATCCTATGAATCTGATTTACTGAGAGTGAAAGGTTAAATATCGGTGCGATACTTAAAATATTTTTGAACCAATTACATAGAGCCTTGGCATGAAATTGTTTTGTCTACAAGAAAAGGTAAATATCGGGTTCATTTCCAAACACGTTATTTAAATCCATGATAAGATCTAATATTATTTTTATCATTTATTCCCAGCTCTCTGATTGGCTCAAAATCACAAAGTAAAAAATAAAGACTTATTACTATTTATATAATCTGAAATGCATATCGACTTGAGGTTTCATAAAATGGAGAAATTTGTGAAACAAAATAGTACTGTATTACACACTAATTTAGTGTATGATTTGATGTTTCTAGAAAAAAAATATTTATTTCAACTTTTACTAACCTTTTTTCAATGTTCTGTATTTGATGAGACAAAAGAGGGCATTGGATAAGGATTACTTCATGTTAATTAAAACATGTTCGATATGTGTGTCAAATATTGATACAAAACTTAATCACTTAATCAAATAAATGAAGTATTCTGAATAAGTAAATCGTCTAAATCACTCCATCAATATAAAGGAAACGCATTTACATTAAACAGTGTAATTTATTTTGATCTCTCGTCTCTAATTGTTAAAGGGAGAAAACTTTTCCAATTATTTTCAAAATTTGTTTTGTCAATCTATGTAAAAAATAATATAACAAATGTAGCCCTTTAATTGAATCATATATCTTCACAGAAAAATAATCGACCTCGCACTTCGTGCTTGGTAAATTTGTGAAGGATAGGGGTATGCGAAATCCATCAAAGGGCTATATTTATATAATATTGTCAGTCAAAATAAAAAAAAAATTAAACCACTTATTAAATGATCAAGGACAATTCACCACCTACGTTTTCCATACAAATTGTTAGACCAATGTCACACCTGCCGTGTGTCGTCTGCTCCCAATCATGATCGGGAAAACGAAAATTATGTAGACAATTTACTGGGCAAAACATGGTCTAACAATCAGTGTGAAATACGAACACGGGTTAAAGATAGGTTGTTTTTACTGACAACGTTGATCATATAACGTGCAAAATGATGACTATGAGATGTTGATATTCTTGTTTCTTAATAGATTGTCACGTTTTAGAAATTTATTGAATGTAAAGGTGCTCTTGTGTATTGAATCAAGACATCAGATCAATACATAGGACACACAGCTTTTGTAATCTATAAAGGGGGATATTAGGGCTCCTCTAATTAGGCATCTTGTCTCATCTCTGGAATTTCCTGGAGTCCGTGATTTCTCTCTTCACAGATTTGTAATTGTTTTAAATTTCTTTTTGTATTGTTGACTTATTTATGGAATTTTTATTTCTCTGTTTAAACTTTTATTGTTTAAAAAATTCATATGTTTATATATATATATATTTTATATATATATATATATATATATATATATATATATATATATATATATATATATATATATATATATATATATATATATATATAAGATTTTGCCTCTCGCGTAACATAGCAAAAATAAAGTTCTCGCGAATAAATAGTGATTTACAGTAGTATTCAATATTTGCCTGATGCCATTTTTAAAATAATCTTATGTTTATGAAACATATGGAGATAACGAACAATATTCAAGATCAAAAGTCCATAAAACAATACAAAATATGAGCAGAGCAAACACGGACCTCCAAAACATCAGATGTGGGATCAGGTGCCATGTAGGAGTGAACATCCTTTAACGACCGGTCACACCTGCCGAAGCCTCCTTATCATGATCGGGAAATGACGGGAAAATCCGTCGTCAATTCAGTGTATAAATAATGGACTAACAAATAATATGAAAAACGTCAGTCAGCATTGGACTCAATGATCAATTGTATTTGCTGACCAAGTCATTGTATCGACCATAGAACTTACGAAATTATGACTAAATGTGACTGTTGATATTCTTGTTTCGTCAACTTGTTTTCAATAATTTACCTTGTTTTAGAAATTGTTCATACGTAGAGCGTGTCTTGCGTATCGAATCAACTGAGATATATGAACTCCGTATGCTTGTGATGAAGGTATATTGCTGCAATAGTAAGGAAGTTGACAAATGAAAAGTTAAAGTCATCATGTTTATCATAGAGCTTGGTTGTTAGATTACCATTAACGTCTTTTTCAAGAAAAATTTGAAACAGTTGTCGCAGACTCTGTGATATCTCGAGCTCACCAGGATATATCGTATGGACATAAAAATGGAAATTACCATTGTTCATTGACAGTACGTCATCGATATATCTTAATGTTGAGTGGAAGGCCACAGCAAGTGTTTTCTTTTTTTTCACGCATAAGATTTTGCACAAATTCTGCTTCATATGAATACAAAAATAGGTCTGTTAATAACGGGGCGCAATTGGTATTCATGGGAATTCCGATAGATTGTTGGAAGACCTGGTCTCCAAAAACCACATTGTTATTGTCAATCAGAAACTAAAGCAACTTTTTGATGTCAACCTCATAGTACTTGTGTGTACAATCAGAATGTTTTTAACAAAATTATTTTGCAAATGACCAATGACAAGGTAAGTAAATTGACGAGTTCCATTTTTATTGCAAGCAGCTGTCAATGATATTAAAAAGCCTGGACTTTAATTAATTCTTGGGAATTGTTGTGTATAAAGTTGAAAAGTAGAAAGTATTTAAGTTGTTGATTTTTCTTAAAACCTTGTAATTTCAAATTGTCCAAAAGTTCTTTGGATTTTTTAGGTATCTACATCTGATTTACATCACTTCTCGAATATATGGTTGCACAGTACTCTTGAAGTTTCTCCTTCATTACTGTTCATTTAAATAATAAAATGCTTTCTTTGTTTGTTATTACTGGAATTAACGAAAGCAGCTCTTGCAGAAAAAATACATAACCCGCGTAAGCGTTTATATTTATATCTGTTTAATTAATCATTTAAAGTAGGATTAAAGATTAATTATTGTATTAATGATGCGAATGTCTTTATACGTTTCATTGATGGAACAGCCACTGATCAAGAAATCTGTACAGGCGACATGCCTAATGTAGTTCATGCAGTGATTAACGCAATGGGTTTTCTTAAGAAATAAAGGAGAAAATATTCAGTGGATGTAAATATATCTTAGTGAGGAGTAAAGAAAGAGACTTTGTTGAGCAACTACTGGAATCCGCTATGTATCTTTTTGAGGAAGGATTCTTATGAAGATTCGGAATCCAATATAGATATGTTAGTTCAAATTCATTTTGATTCTTTGGGATCTTGATTAAAAGTATTCAGAACTGACATATGAGTTTGAAGAATATCATCTTTAGAAAGAGAACTGTGAGAATAAGTTGGATTAGCACTTGCAAAATTAAAACCAAGTTCTTCTAAAATACAATTTATATAATGAGCCTTACAAACGAAGACAATGTCTTAACCTGCTTTGTCAGCAGGGACCAGTACATACTGAGGATATAATCAATATAGTTCTTTTTACACTTCTGCATTGTTGAATACAGAAGGATAGATGGTTTCATATTGCCTCTTAATCATTTAATACGCGATTGTAACATAAATCTGATACATTTAATCCAATATGACAAAGTGTCAACGTTTTCTTTTTCATATCTGGCCCATCGCCTAGCGTAATCCTCTACAGAATCCATCATATTTATGAAATTCTTACGCCAGTTGAAGGATCGGGGTTCCCTATATTTAAGTCTTTTAAGATTATTGATCTAATCTAAATTATTAACTATATTTACGTCACCTGTAATAACGTGTCCAGCAGGACTATGATAGTTATAGGTTGAAGAAGAACATGAACACGGTGAAGGTTTATGTCTCAGACATACGACATCCGGGTCCTGTAAAGTTTTACTTTTAATTAAAAAGTTTGGAAGCAATAGTCGATGTATATTTATAGGGAATACAAGGAGTAGTTTTTAACTTGAAGTATGGTGGAATTCAAGACTGGACCCTTTGTGATTAAAGATATTACTTATATTAACTGCGTCAATTCCGTCGTTGGCATATTGAAGTTTAAGGAAAAGACGGATTGTTTTAGCTGCATTTCCTTCAGTAAAACGAGGGGGTTTAAAAAGCCTATGATTTTTAATATCCATAATCACATATCCAAGCCTGGTGTCGAGGAATCAAAAACTGGACTTTCGTTGACCTTTTCAAGAAGACTATTTAAAAGTTTCAAAGGGACAGAGTCAAGTTTGGTGCGAATATGATGTAGACCTAACTGTTGATTTACATAAGGTAGTAATGAATCAAGAGACATTGTGTATAAAAGATTTATTGTAAGACATGCCCATGACTACACTTATGTCTCTGTGTGTGTTTAAAAAAAGCCTATCACAATTATATTATCAAACTGTGGACTGGATAGATTTCCAACACTATTGACATTATCATTACATCCATAGGGAAAGGCTGTCCCAAGTTTTCTCATCCAAAATTCTTCTCTTTGTCTATGGAAAGGTGTACATGTACTCAGTGAAGGACTATTGCTATGCTGCTAAATATTTTCTAGAATTCTCACTTTCATTGACAAAATAGAATTATCAGGTAAATTAAAATGCTTGTATAATAAATTTTCATGCATATACTAGTACACTGTATATGAAGATTTAGATTTCATTTCAATAAAGGTGCATACTTAAAGCGAAAAATGAATTGTTTGAATTTGTGCAACTGAAAGTGCATGTCTGCTTGAAGGAGGAAAAATAAATGGCTACATACGTACATGAAAAACTAAAAAAAATGTCATAGTTTATATTAATAAAACATAATGAAACACTGTAATACACAAACGCATTAAATAGTAAGACATCTGAAACAGTTTATGATAATAAAGTCTAAAAGAAAATGCATTTTATTATTTATCAACTCTCTTAGCTGATGTACATGCAGATACCGCTGAAAGTATAAAAATATCTGAATTTTTTGCCATTTTTTCTCCAAAAGAGAAATTGAAGCATTAGATCTTACAGAAACATAAATATATAAATACCGTGATTTTTTTTCTCAACATCACCCGGTTCAGAAATATTTCTGAACACATTCTTTCATGATTTAATTACTCTCGGTGATGCGTCACTCTTTTGACCTTGACCTGATATCAGAGTTCTTGTTGTGTTGCTCGACACTCCCTTTGAAGCGTCACTCTTTTGACCTTGACCTGATATCAGAGGTCTGGATATGCTGCTCCCAATTTTGTCCATCGAAGTTTTCCTCTGTAACGTGTTCTACTGTTCCAGGATCCAGACAGTGTGGAGCTACACCATAACCATCAGGATTAGATCTAAATACAGACACATATAAAATCAAACAATACATACATGTCCTTAATATATATAGTGTTCATAATAAACGATAATGGGGGGAATTTTCTGTTTGTTTCTGTGCTTCCAAATTTTTATATGTTTTGGTCACTAAATCGCAGCTTGAACCGATAAAAAAAAGTCAATGAAATATCATTTTCAATGCTTTGAAATGTATAAACTTCTAGCTGTGGGCCACAGGCACCTGACCTAACTTATTTTTCTTTTAATAAAAGAATATACCCCCTATCTAATAATACACTTTGTGTATTTTTACTTAGAGGGTATTTTCTTTATTAAAAGAAAAATAAGTAACGTCAGGTGCCTGTGCTCTGGGCTGTTTGTATGAACTTACCTTGGCGTGTAAAAGCTTTGAACCCCACAAGTTTTACAAAAGGTGTGTTTGGCCTGTCCCGTGTTAAAGGTGTATGTGGTCAGACTGTCCTCGCCCTTCAGGAGAGTAAACTTTGACTTGGGTACTATGAAGTGTTTATTTTGTTTCTTGTAACAGATTGAACAGTTGCAGTTATACACATGAAGATGTTTTGGCGCCAGAACTTGGAACCTGATGGCGCCGCAGTGACAGCCTCCTGTGTGAATGGTCTCTGTCGAGCAGGTACTTGACGACATGTTACTCTAACACTGAAAGAGAAAGAGAGATAACTTGAGTCGAGTTCTGTTCTACTTTTATACATATCCAAACAATTAACCCAAAACAACAATTATTAAAGCTATATGAACTGCATTTTTTTTGATAATTTTAGTTCCCTGTTAAAATGGGTCATTATGATTAATTTGTATGAAATTTAAAACTTTTTTGATCCATGAAACAGAAATAAAGTATCAAAATGTTTGAGAATAATGGCCTCTGTACAATCAAATAAATGGTTTATATAAGAAATCAATATTGTACGGGACGACAATAATGTAATTTTACTCTTTTCAAAGCTTATAAATATGGGTTCCGAAACCTCACAAAAATCCTTACACACAAAGATACATAGCGGGTTCCAGTAAATGCGTAAGCAAGCCTCTTTCTTTACTCCTCTCTGAGATATTAACAGTAGTGAAGGAGAAACTTCAAGATTTCTGTGCAACAATATATTCAAGAAGTCATGTAAATCAGATGTGGATACTGAAAAATTCTAAGGAACTTTTGAACAATTTGAAATCAAAGGATTTTACCAAAATCAACAGCTTAAAAGCTTACGTCTTTTTAATTTTATACTCAGCAATTCCCCACGATAAATTAAAGTTCATGATTTTTGATATCATTGACAGCTGCTTTTTTAATAAATATAAAACTAGTAAATTTACTTACCCTTGTCATTGGTCATTTGCAAAATTATTTTGTTAAAAACATTCTGATTGTACACACAAGTACTCTGAAGTTGACATAAAAAAGATGCTTAAGTTTCTGGTTGACAATTTCTATTTTTTTTTTTTTTTGGCGACCAGGTCTTCCAACAATCTATTGGAATTCCCATTGGTAGTGCCCCGTTATTGGCAGACCTATTTTTGTATTCACATGAAGCAGAATTTGTCCAAAATCTTATCCGTGGAAAGAAGAAAACACTTGCTGTGGCCTTCAACTCGACATTTAGATACCGTAAATCTGGAAAAGGTATATCGCAAAAATATTTTTCTTAAAAATAAATCACCAATAAGAAAATGTGAACAAAGCACGTCGCAAAATTTTGTCAATTAACAATGGTAATTTCCATTTTTAGGTCGATACGATATATCCTGGTGAGTTCGAGATAAGAGATACAACAGAGTCACAACTGTTTCATTAGGATATTTTACTAGAAAAAGACGTTAATGGTAATCTAACAACCAAGCTCTGTGATAAACGTGATGACTTTAACGTTTCAATTGTCGACTTTCCTTACTTATGCAGTAATACTAGAATACAATCATCACCTGGATACGGAGTTTATATATCTCAGTTGATTGGATGCACAAGGGCATGCTATTTATTGACAAACAAGTTGATGAAACAAGAACATCAGCACTCAGCAGTCTCGTTTAAAGTCATCATTTCGTAAGTTCTATATTCGATACAATGCCCTTGTCATCGAATACAATTCTGACTGAGTGACGTTTTTAGTATTAATTGTTAGTCCATTATTTATACACTGAATTGACGACGGATTTTCCGTTATTTCCCGATCATGAGAAAGAGCACATGGCGGGTGTGACCGGTCGGCAGGGGATGCTCGATCCTCCATGGCACAAGATCCAACCTTTTATGTTTGTAAAGGTCGTGTTCGCTCTGCTTCTACTATGTGTTGATTTTTTGGACGTTTGGGCTTAATTACTTTTCTGATCTCCGTATGTTAAAATCACACGTATTATTATTATACGCGTATCTGAAAATTTGATTAATTTTAGATAACATTGATGTACTTAGTATATAAGGGCAGTAGATTTATTAACCGGTGGTATGGACAGTGAATAATGGCTTAACAAGTAATATTAGATTGTCAGCCAGTATTTGACTTAATGATAGATTGTATATGCTGACAAGTTCATTGTATCGGGTGTAGCACTTGCAAAATGATGACTTTAAGCGAAACTGTTTATATTCTGGTTTTATCCACTTGTTTGTTAATAGCTTGCCTCGTTCTAGAAATCGTTCCTACGTAGAGCTAGCTCCTTTTTATCAAGTCAACTGAGAGACATAAAAAACAGGTTATAAGGGTATATTTTCTATATAATTTTCTACAATTTAGAATTTCCAATTCAGAAGTTGGAATTATATACTTTAAAGTTGAAAATACCAACTTTAAAGTTGCAAAAGGCAAAGTTGAAGCGGAATTCCGAACTTAACAGAATAATCAACTTCGAAGTTGAAAATGTCGAAATAAAAAGTTAAAATTTTTCATTTAAGAAAAAGTGGCAATGATAGGCTTCCGTATATTTATTAACCAAATTTATATTATAAATTAGAAAAAAAGAATTAGGTTGAGGTATGGCGATTATATTTTAAGTAAGGAGATCGGATGAAAGGAAGTACTGTATATAGCTGGCATATTTCCCATCAGTACATCGACCTTTACAGCTAGGTGACAAACTATAACGATTTATAAATAGATCACCAACCACCGCTATGGAAATGTAAGACCTCTGTTGACACGTGGGGCAAAGTCTGGGACTTACGCAATCTTGAGGTGTTGTCTTTTATAAAGAATAAAAAATACATGAGTAATCCTCATCCGCTCTGGGTAACATGCATATATCCGCTTTTGAAATATAAAACAAATATCGCAGAGGATGATTGTGGAATCGATCCCAGTTTTCGAATCGGACAATGATTTTAGAAACAAGGAGGGGAGGATGGAGGACTCCTTCTCTCAAGATTCTACAGAATTCATCCCAAATGATAGCCACGACTTCATGGTCAGTGATACCTACTGTTTCAGTCAAGATCTTGAAATGGGCGTGGCTGAGTTCGGAATAAGTGAACCGTCCGGGGATGAGTTGCTAGGTCTTGAGATGGGATTAAGCGAGTTCATTATCAGTGACTATCAGATTTCAGAAGAAATTGATCCTGGATCCTTTTCTGGTGCTTCCTTTGGAGAAAACCTCACTGCCACGGTCGGACAGAGCTTAAAATTGAGTGGTGGTTTTAGTGAAGAGCTGCATGAAGATGTGCAAATGCAGAGTGAGCTTAATTTTGTTGGAACACAGGTTGAGGAGAGAAGGGACTGTGTTGAAGAGAATAAAGGCTTTGGCCTGGACCTTCCTGACTGTTTGGAACCAGAGACGGAAAATGAGACCGGAACAAGCGAAAACAAGGTATTTCATTTTATAAACAAGCATATAAGTCACGAAGCAAGTTTTGGGGAGGTGACACGACAAACGTAATCAGTTTGGGGAGGGGACAATACCAAAGATATATATTTATCGAAAAGCCAAAATAAATAAATAAAAAAATTAAAATAAATTTATAAAAATGAAATAAAAACAGGTCATAGTTAAGATTGTATTGTTAGGAGACACGAGGATATAGTGCGTACTTGTGTTATCTATATAATATTGGATAATTTATTTAGAGGTCACCCCCCCCCCCCCTACCCCCGGTTCCTTCGGCTCTGAATCATGTTAAAACATTTAATTTCCTTATTAATTTTTTCTCGCATAAATTGAAATAGAAAGTGTTTTTCCTTATGCTGGAATGCTACTGTTTGAATAAAAATGAAATAACAAATTTCCCCCTTTTTTAAATTTAAAATGTTAATCAATATTTAACAGCTTCAATGTTCGATGCGCTTAGAGTAATTCTAAAAATTCCTGTCTGGTTATGTATGGTTTGTATTTGTATATTATTAGATATATATGTCCTGTTACCTGAAATCTGTCACAGTAAAATCTCTATAGATTCGCCAAATTTGACATGCTGTACTATCAATAAGACTTACCATGTGTCCTATCTACTCGTCTATGAGCCACTGCAGTTCAAGTGTCTCATATGGTTAAGTACTCATGAAATGTGGGTTCGTTTCCATAAACTAGGTCAGTGTAAATAACAACCTGTCGGGCAGTGATACGTGTACAGTACAAATAAGGAGCTAATTCCCTTGTTTATCAGAGAAAATGGACACTAAAACACAAAATAATGGTAAGTTGTTAAAGTTTCAGACTTCTAGTAACATATTAACTAGAAAAGAAAACTTCTCGTTTGTGTAAAATGCCAATTATTAGCTCTTAAGACTAGCCCGGGACAGGTTATTAAAACGTCCTATAAATTGACATTCACGCATGACGACATCTAGTTTTCTACGCGGCTTGTAATTTTCGGTTTTGAAAGTTTATCAAAAATGTCGTAAATTGTAATTTATTAAATGTGAACAGAGAAGCAATGGTAAACTAAGTTTGTTTAACAACAGAATCAATCAATTAAGACCCAATGGTTTATTTACATGGATGTTTAATAAAGAAGTCAAGTACGTCGTTCTAAATATAGACGCAACATTTAGAATGTCGCTGTACATGTTATGCTTACTGAAATCCTCAAATGAAATACTTTCAGTGTATCTTATTGTTGATTTGTTGTTGATAAACTAAATAGTCATCCATAACGTTAATTCCCTTCCTAACACAGGTACAACATGTACAATGCACTATAAAGCACTCTAAATAGTTTTAAAAGCCAATTTAAATGATATTTAAATATCAATGATTCGATATTGTTACTGTGCATTGTAGAAGAAAATTATAAAGAGTTGTGTGTTTTACGACATCTTTTGTATAACATTTTTTTTAGAGAACGTATTCGGAGATAGGAAATGTAATTTTATATTATCGTCCTACTAATAAAGTATGAACCTTGACTATATGGTCTTCCAGTCTCGGAAACATAAATTAGATTGGTCAGATAATTAATAATAAATGTATTTTAAAGGTAAAAAGGGTCGTTGCTCCATTCTTTTTTTTTTTTTTTCTTTTTTCGTTGTTGTTAATCAAAAATGTAAATTTTTATGCTAACTTTTACGACAAACTTAAAAAAAACAAACACAAAAAGCAAGTAAACACCCACTCATATCAAAAAATTTTGCTATCATATGAGAAAATGTTCCACTTAAGTGTATGTATTGTTAATTTCAATCTTTGTGAGATTTATCCAAATTTTAGAGATTTTTCATAAAGTATATGTATAATTTAATGTAAATATCGAAGAAAACTGTAAATACAATTTCATCGTCATGTTATACTGTATAGGCATAATCCCATTTGACTTGTTCCCCATCTTTTTACCTGAAGATCAAACTTAAATTTCTTTATGGAAATATAATCCATTGAGATAAGTGTGTAAAGTTGTAAACAAGAGCTTTTTTTGACACTGTGACTTTGATTAGGTTCATATGGACCTTCTGATAAGAGAGATATCTCTTTGTGTTGTGAATGAATACTTAGCATCACCCCATTCCTCTAAAAAGTTAAGAAATAACTTTGATGTTTGTTGGTTGTACATCACGTGTATATAATTTTGTCATTTTGTTTGTGTTGGAGAGGACAATTTAAGTTGGAATAACTCATGTTCAATTCCATTGGTTGTGTTCAATAAAATATGTTTACATCAAATCAATAAAAAGAATCGGTGCTATTTTAATTTTTCGTGGTTTGTGAATCTTGTAAACTAGGTACATATTTGCTCCTTGAGTGTTGTCCAAGGTTTTTTTTTTTATTATTAAATTCGAGTTTGACTAGGAAAGAATGTTGGTGAATTTTGTGGGAACCGTAAATCCAGGTTTTCAAAGTATTCCAGAAGCCCGAACCAGCCACAGTGTTTATTTTTTTAATGCTTTGTCCATCAATTTGGATTGGGTATGATTTTATATTTGACTTAAGATTTAACACTCCTTTTTACAAGACCTGCTGAATGCATGTCCTAGTATCAAAAATCATTTGGAACGTAGGTTTTGGATATTATTTTACTAGAAAGAGCTAGACGTTTACGGTAATATAAAAACGAAGAATTATGGTAAACATATTGACTTTTCAGTCGTCTGCTTCGCTTACCTATGCAGCAATGAACCCTTATCACGTGCGGTGTTTATATCTCTCAGTTGATTAGATAATCAAGAGCATGATCTACGTATAAAGAAGATACAAAACTATTGACAAACAGCAGCTCAACACAACTTCTTCCAGTTTGTCTTATTTTGGATGTCCTGAAACAAAAGAGTTGCCTTCTCTTTGCCCCTGAAAAAGTTTATGAAATAAGAATAACAACAAGTCTCGTTCGAAGTCGTCACTTCGCAAATTCTATGGTTGATTTAGTGACCTTGTCGGCAAATACAACCTATCGTGGATTTAAATGCCGACTTACGCTGCTCACTCCTCCATGGCACCTGATCCAATCTCAAATGTTTTTAGTAGTCCTTCTTTGCTCTGTTCCCGATTTGCTTTGTTTAAATCGACTTTGAGCTTGAATATCGTGCATTATCCTCAAATTTCATGAATGAAACATATGGAGATATAACGAACAGTATTATATTCAAGATCAAAAACCATAAAACAATACAAAATAGGAGCAGAGCAAACACGGACCACCAAACCATCAGAGGTGGGATCAGGTGCCATGGAGGAATGAAATCAATACCTCATTGACTTTTAAAGAACTTGATATGCCCAAGGCAGAGTGAAATAATTAACTTGACATATACTAAATTAACTCTCTGTTCCTTGAGCACATAAGACCTGCCCCGAGGATCACTGTCTCTGCCTGTCTGCTTTTCTGTACCTTGGTCTAAGTCCATCCCTGATTTTTCCACTGATCGCCATCATATCTCCTCTTATATTTACTTTCTTGGTGGAGTCCATAACTTGGTACTGATTTTGTCTGCCAAATAGTTTCCAGTGAGACAATTTACTCTGCATCAATGTCTAAACGTTCTTTCTTTCAGCTTCTTTTGATGGACATATCTAGTTAAATAATCTTTTAAAGTATTTCCTTTTGGCACATCTGTGCTTCAAAATCATCCCCTTGGAGTTTTTGCGATGCATTAAAAGGTTCACTTGTCTTGTTTTCTGAGCACCTTTTCTACATTTTTTGCTAGCTTGTCAACATAATTTCTCATGTCTCTCTGTGTACTTAACTTTGTGTTCTTGTTGTGAGGTATTTTCCTAAAGCTGGTCTGTGAAATTGACTGATTTGGCTATTAGTATTTTCTTTCTCTGATTTAGTTCTTAGTTCGACCATACGATTTCCCTTCTTTTTTTCTTTTCAACTCCCTTTTTTCAATTCCCTGCTCCCATAAGAATGCTGTAGATTTGCTTAATACTGACTTTTTGCTGTCAATCTATCCTGTGATGGATTCTTTTCCTTGATTGGTAGTACAAACATTTGCAATCAGATTAACTCATATGAGGAATAAATCATGAGCTGGTGTTTCCTCCACATTTTTCTTCAGTTCTTTTTTTTTTAAAAAAAGATTTTTTTCCTCCTCTTCCCTTAAGAATGCTGATTTGCTGAATACAGACTTTTTGCTGTCAACAGTGATGGATTCTTTTTTGATTGATGTTTTGCAATCAGATTAACTCATATGAGGAATAAATCATGAAAGTGTTTCCTCCACATTTTTCTTCAGTTCTTTTTTTTTTAAAAAAAGATTTTTTTCCTCCTCGCAGATTCTGGGTGAATGACCCAACAGTCTGAGATGTTTTGAATGGAATTCCCATAAGTACCAGAATGGCTGAATGTTAACAACAGGCCTATTGTTGTATCTTTATTAAGGAAAATTTATTAAAAATCTTTCACATGAAAAAAGTTCTTTGTTGTTACCTTCAATTCAACATTGAGATATATGGACCACCTTTTATCAATTAAAGAATATTCATTTTCATTCCTACCTTGATTCGAAATGTCCCTTTGAACTCGGAATAAAAGATTTTCCAGAGTTCAACACATTTGTTTCGTATTTGGATATTTTACTAGAAAAAGATTTTAAGACTGTATTGGTAACCAAGCAACTAGACTATGATAAACGTGATTATATACTTTACCTTTTCTATCTTCAAATTCCATGTCCTCATCGTTTAATCGATGGGTTTGAAAAATCTTAATACATGTACATATTAATTTTTCTAAGAAATAAATATGCGTGTATATACGTCATCCACCATTCTAAAGAAATAAAATCACGAATTTCGAAATCACATTCAGTTAAAACAGGAAAAAAGTACCCCTGTCTTAAAACTTTGATATAATTGATCATTATTGAAATTTGAAATTCAAACTTCAATCTATGACGTTATTGCGTTTGTCAACGCCTCCGCTATTTTAAAATGGTGCGAGCAATATCAAGTAAATAGGCAATCAATCACGATTGGAAAAAAGCACCAGGTAACCTTTTTATTAGTTTTTGAAAGTTTACATTGAATAACAAGTAGTTTCCCTCTGAGAGAAAGGTCGGAGGACCTCACTCACTTACACATACACACAGAAACATACGTTTGAATTTAAAACCTTAAAAAACTATGGATACCAGTTACAATATTGGATATTCCGGAATTAAATTACCTTACCAACATATTTTTTTTTATCAAAGCTTTATGTTAAAAATAATCTCCTTGCGTTCCTCTGGCAAATAAATGACGGATATACTAGTATATATAACTATATGTAGTCTTTTTCCAAGAAAGCAATATGACACGCCCACCTCTTTGCTTTTCTGCTAACAAGAAGAGCTGTACTCTGTCGACGAAAAAGTGATGCTGATTATATTCTGAATGAAGAATATGTAGATAACGAACAGTATTCAAGCTCAAAGGTCCATAAAACGATACAAACAGAACCACAGCAAACACGGCAAAACATCAGAGGTGGGATCAGATGCCAAGGAGGAGTGAGCATCCCATACCGACCGGTCACATCCGCCATATGCTCCTTGTCATGATCGGGAAATAGCGAAAAATCTGTTGACAATTCAGTGTGTAAATTAATTAAGAATGGTTTTTAGCAAACAGGCGATTGCAAATCACGATATTAGACATAAATGAAATTTTAAAATGAAAACAAAATAACAAACAATTTTTTTCCTGATTACATTAAAATATATGTACTTCTAAATCAGCACATTTTTGTCGATTATATGATATTGGGAGGTCTACGGAAGTTTTCAATGAAGTAAATATTTACACATATCGTGACTTTTTTTGCTTTTAATGCTTCCAAATATATCCCAAACACGTAAAGAAATAAGATGAAATAGTTGTTAAAAGAATAAGCACCTTGGCACTTTCATTCACAAACCGACACGGTTCACGGATCTGGGCTGCTTAATTGCTTGTTTTTCTCCCGTGAAGTTTTATGAATGAAAACTAGTAACCTAAATATACGAGTAATGTATTACTACTAGCGTAAAATAATATTAGCCGGAACGACATGATAATTTGTTTAGATAAAAATAGTTTAGTAGATTATCGACAATGCATAAATAGGATTGACATCCCTCTTTTTAAGTATTTGCAAATTTTAACCGATACAAATCACTTATTACACTTCTTTCAGACCTCTCTTCCAAAAATGATGGAGTTCGTAGAATTCCTGGTGGACATGGAAGGTATTAAGGATTTTAAAACAGCTTCAACTATGACAGATATTATCATGGAAGAAATTGTAGACAATGCTTTAGCAGTGAGTGATTCGTCCAACTCAGCAAGTAGTCCGTCCACAGGCGAAAGGTTACACTGCCCTGATACGCCGTGTGGACAAGACTCGAACTATTCTGCGAAAAACAGTTCCATCAAAGCTGTTGTTTCCAAAGCCAAAGACCCTGGTCCTAAATCAACATTCCTCCCTCCCTGTCGTGTGTGCGGGGATAACGCGTCTGGATTTCACTATGGAGCTAATACATGTGAAGCTTGCAAGGTAAAGGTGGTGTTGAAAAGAAAAGTCTAGCAGGAATTTAATTGGTCTTGCCCATGTTAACGGATATTAGTATCATTATGGTCTTTGCAATATATATTTTTCTTGATTTTTTTCATTTCCAGCCGAAATTAAAAATGAAATTTGGGTATTGATCGACCGATATTTTTTCAGCATACACGTCTTAACCTATAAGTTTCTTGTAGGGTTTCTTCAGAAGAAGTATTGTTAAGGTTCAGCAGAATAAAGAGTCGTATAAATGCGCGGGAAAGGGAAGCGGTTGTAATCTGGGGCCAGGAAAAAGAAATCCATGCGCGGCCTGTAGATACGCAAGATGTCTGGAAGTGGGAATGTCTATTAACGGTAAGTGTTTAAGTGCAAATTACTAAAAACTGTTTATCACAAGACAATGTTAATTTAAAATCATGACGGTAATGTTAATTTGTTCTCACTCTCTTTACTGTCAGTTTCTTAATTATTAATAGACAATTTTCTATTAATAGACACAATCTAATGAAATGGAAAGAAACAAAATATACAAGTTCATTTGAAAAAAAATGTTATAAATCATTATTTATTTATAAATGATAATTCAATTATTTTTGTTGATTTGATTTATTATTGTTGTGTTACTTTTTCCTAGTTCTACTTGTAGGAGAAAAGAAATAAATTGTCTATGTGATCTCTGTTTCTTTCAGCAATAAAAACCGGTAGATACACGTACGAGAAGAGAACTAAGGACACTGTGGAGGTGAGGAATATGAAGGCGGTGGAGAGCCCCTCCCACCTAGAGACCTACATCAGTGACTCGGAGGTGGACCAGATCATCCAGGCCCTGAAAGACGTCCTCCTAAAGAACTGTCCACAGGCCTACAAAATCTTTGACAGGGAAACCAACCTACACAGGCAGTGGCAGATCTATGTAAGTCTGCTGGCTTTAATTAATAAACAAAAAGATTTTTACCTCGTTTTATATATGTTTTTCATCTCTTGTCCTCGGTTTCAATGGTCAAATTCAACAGACCCTCTTTAAAAGACTTTTTAAACTGGTCCAAAGTGTTCGAAAAATGATATTTTGGTACAATTAGCAGGGCAATATAAACCTTGCATTTTCTTTATAAGCTTTATGTATTTTGCCATCATGTCCAATCATGTTTTTTCTGTTCAAAACTATAAAAAAAACTTAGATAAGTGTGAACCAAGAGAGAATAAAAAACATTTCGTCTTCTTTTAACCAGAATTTTTATTGAAAACATTTTTTACCTTTAATTAAGAATGACTACAAGGCCAAAGTGGAAATTTTTGGTTCAATGTCCGTGATTCCAAAAGATGTGTGGGACGAATTTTACAAAGAAACTGGGATAGACTTAGACAACAGACAAGAGCTGATGAAGGAAATGGCTTGTAGAATGGAGTATGGGCTCACAATGATGGTCGACTTTGTTCGCGCTATTCCGGGATTCGCCGATCTATCCGTGTCTGATCAGACAGAACTTATAAAAGGTAATAATAATAATTGGAAAATTAAATTGCTTTGAGAAAGTTATCAGTATTTTAGTTTAACCCTTTTAATTAATTTATTTCATTTCCATTTTAAAAAGATAGAAATTAAAAACACATTACTTAATTGCTTTTGAAATTGATCTTTCTTACTTAAAAATGAAAAAAAATCCATATTGTAGGTCAATATGCCCAAATTCTGTGTTATTACTCAACAAAGTTAAAGTTTTTGTTCTCGGAGCTTGGGTGTAGATAATACAATTTTATTTATTAATATACCTTTGTTAATTTACTAGTATTTGTGCAAAACCTAAATGACTTAAAATAAATTACGTATTTTACCTCTATAGATGAAATATTTGGCATTTTTTAATCACCTTTATGAACAACTAGGTCAGATTCATATAAGTCCCCTGAAAAAGAAAAAAAAAATGCAAAAGAATAAATAACAACTGAAATATTTAACAATATCCAACTATGAAATATATAATTGTATGTTTATATCATTTCCTCTGATTTTTCATTTGTGGGTGACTTTTTCTTAGAGAGTGTTCGGAGATAACGAACAGTAATCAAGCTAAAAGCTCCATTGATACAAACTGGGAGCAGAGGAAAGACGGACCTCTAAACTATCAGGTGGGATCAGCTGCCATGGAGGATGTAACAACTTCGCTAAGACATTATGAATCTAAGAATTTGTGAAACTAAACGTAAACAAAGAAGAAAACAATAAATTTTAGAAACTTTGACAATTTGAGTTTCTGTCATTCTGGTTTGTAACTCTCGCTATCTTATAACAGGCTATGGACTTCGTATAGGGAAAGGAATTCTCGAATTTTGCAGCATTTTTAGTATTTGTTCATAGTGTTAAAGGATATCACTTTTATTCTGAAAATGTAGTGAACATTTTCATTTAATAATTTAATTTGTAATAATTGCTTTGCAGCATCTCATTTCGAATTTTTCTACTTGATGAATCATAAAACAATTAATCCTGAATTACGGGTGATATCGGGGATGTTAGGTATGCATCAGAGTGACATGGAAAAAATTGCCGAAAAAGAAATGGTGGACACCCTATTTCAATTCAGTGCAAGCTTTACTAACCTTGACCTGTGTTTTGATGAGGTGTTACTTCTACGGGGGATAAGTGTTACCTTTGCAGGTAAATTTAGTCAGAATGGTCTTCTTTCAGCACTAGTATTTCTTTTCTTTGTAGCATCTCATTTTGAATTTATGTTCATTGGTCATTGTCACTGCTTTAACCCCCACCTGAAAGTTGTTACGGGGTTAATCGATGCACAGCTACAAGATGTTTATAAGCTATTTGGGATTGATGAATCAGTCACTAGTCAATTCAATCAGATGGCTGCCACCTTACAAAAGATTAAACTAGATTGGGAGGAAAGTTTTTTGATGCGTAGCATCGCTGTTACTTCCTCAGGTAAGGAGAGTATATACCATGAGAAATAATGTATGCTATTGCGGGGGCTATGTCTGCTTTGTGTTCCTTATGTTTTCCATGTTTATCATCCTACCTACTTTTCCTGCACATAGCTACATTGTTCATCGTGCCTTATTGTATGTCATTCATAATATAGGTTCAGAAATGGCTAGATATGTTTTGGAAGAATATAAACACGTCATTACATGTGTATGTCAATATCTTCTCGCATGTACTCAGGTAAATTGGAGTTGGAAATACTCAGAATATTAAATGCCTTTCATTTTATGTATCATGCTCCATGTTTGGTGTTGGTTTTTCACTATTGAAATTAGAGACCTCAAGTGCGTTGAGTAATCATTCATTTTTAGTTGAATAGTGTTTTCTTCGACCTTGAGCCAAACCTTGATATAATCAAGTAATATATAAAATATACTTTGATAAGATTAAATAGAAACTAGACATTTTCAGAATTAGTGCTGTTGTAGATAATTAGAAAGACTATGATATAATTTTTTCTGTTTATCTAAAAAAAAACCACCAGTAATTTAGTTGTTGTGTTTAAAAATTAATACGCCCTTGACTGTTAGATTACTATTATATTGTTGTTGTTTTTTTTTAATAATTTTTAGTAACTAGAGGGAGTTCATTTAAATTTTTTTGTTTGCCCACAGATCGTTGTCAGTTGGAGGAACCAAAAGCCGTAGAACGAATTCAGTGGAAGCTGATCAATGCTTTTAGAGTGCTAGCAAAACGTAAGAACTTCAAGCCAGAGCAAAGGTTGTGGCACATAATGGACCGCCTTACTGCTCTCAGGACTATGACAGAAATAAGCAAGGAACTGGACAAACAAAAGTGTTCATGGCCAGTCATGAAAGACCACCCTCTGGTTTTGGATATTCTGCAGAGCTGATAAATATTCTCACTTATTTAAACCAATTCTAATGTGATAATATCCTTAAAGCACCTCCTGTTTTAGCCAAAAATGAAGGGCTCTTTAATCCTCTAGGATTCATTGATATAATTTTTGTGGCACCGATTTTTGAAATACTATTGCAACTTTGACAAAATTGAACCGATGCCTAGAGCACAGAGCAAGTAGTTGTAAACTGCTTCAACTTGATGATGATGAATGAGAACACAGACTCCCAGTGTATGAGTGTTCGTGTTTTTATATAAAGGAAGGAAATGCATCTTTCTTCTAATGTGATCTCAAACACATGACAAACCAGTGAATCAGTGATAGTTATTTTTGCAGCAAGTTTTATGTCGATGTTATTGTCTCTGTTCATCTATACTTTGATATATAGATTCTCCATGGAACAGTGTTATATGCAAACAACATGTGTTTGTTTTGAAAACACTTGTCTAATAATCATTGAGTTTATTCGAAGAATTATATTTTTGGAATCTGAGCTGTTTTTTTCTCACATTTTTGATCATAGATAAATATAAGCAGGGCAAATTGAAACAAAACATGTTGATGTGATGTAGTCAGAAAAAACCCCACACATAATCAAAGCTGATACCGTCATATTGACGGCTTATTGATTGATAAAAGACAAAATCTAAGAATAAGAGAGAATAACTCTGTTTAAGAAACATTCCAAAGCTTCTGACGGAAAAATTAAAAGTTCAATGGTAGATTAATAAGCTTGTGGAGTTCATGTTCCAAAAGCCCTCTGTTTCTTCGTTATGATTCAGAAATTATGTGCAGTTTTTTTTCTCCTTATGAACAACTGTTCAATCATTTTTCTGAGTTATTTTCAAAAGAAATACCGTCAATCACATTTTTGAGGGGTCAAATTTTCGTGGTTTGAGGAAAATATATTGGTTCATTGAAACCAAGAAAATTAACCCCTATAAAATTTATCGATTTCAGGGTAAAGGATATTTAAGCCCAATCGTAAGTGCCAAGTCTTGTTGTTTAATATATTCTGAAAATTCCATCACCAAGACCTTTACTTCTCGTGAACCTGAAGATTTTAATTTCATCATACTTTGCCATAAAATGGTTGTAATTATTATTCATAATTTTCATCTGTAAAGTTTAAAATCAATTATATACAATATTTCCATAAAAATTACATTTTTCCATTTTGACAGTACAGAAGCATTATTTTCTTTTTGATGGAAACTTTTCTTCTGATTGTGAAGAATGGAACAGTATTTGGATTCCTGTACATTCCTGTTGAGGACTTGTATAGGTTATGCCTGCTGCTTTATCCATTTATGTAGTTATAACATATTAATATATTTTCAAATCAAATCCTGTACATTCCTAGCAATTTAATTTTATGTTTAAATATTCTATATAAACATTTTTTTCCTTCCCCTTTGGAAACTTAAATAAATTGATTAATTTGGCAAATATACATGTATGTTTTAATTTTTTTGTTTTTCTTTTGTAATTAATCTTTAAACCTATGAAGTCTCCAAGTATCTCCAAGTATCTCTACCCCATCCGTCTTTCATTAAAAAAGAGTAAGACTTGTAAGGGTTTATAAATAATACATTTATTATGATGAGTTTTAAGATACACATTTATCTGAAAGCGGCTGCAAAGTAAGGTTTTCCAATAGTGGAAAATGATGGCGGCATGGAATTTGCATATATATCTTCTTGGAAGAACATGGCAGAGTCTTGGCGTGGCGGATACTGTGATTGCGGCTGCGCAATGTCCATGTATGGACCATTAAACCCTCCGATTGAAAGATGGCTTCCTACTGCAAAATACAGATTTTGTTATTAATATTAAGGACAGATGATACAAACTAAAAATGAATGCCTGGATCGGTATATATTTTTTTTTGGCCTAAATTCATTGCAAATGATGCAAATAACAAATTTCTAGAATATAAAGGAATGGTAAACCTTCTGTGATGTTCAAAAGTCTGAAACCATCCTTATTAATCTATACAAATATTTTTCACTTCAGATCCCATTTTTGTGAAATTTGGAATAAGAAATTGAAAACTACGCGGTGAAACTTATTCATTTTACTCATTTAAACATTACCCAAGTTGTTATATTTTCAAATTCTTTTTTTACATAAGTTTGTTTATCATCTGTCCTAAATATTTGGTTGAAATAAAATTCTGCATGAGTAAAAGCAAAAATATAACGTATGAAATAATATGGTTACAGTATTCTCGTACATGTAGCATAGAATATGTTTCATGTACCTTGGAAGTTATCGTGCGAGCTCCTGTAATAATTTCTAGAATTTTCAAAGGCGGATCTGTTGATGGTGTCTTGGTACGACGAGCTTCTTAGAAATGAACTTTTATTATAGGTGTCATATGAAGAATGAAATTTATTATAACTGTACGGGTTGTATGTCTCATGAAATGTAGGATGAGTCCTACTGTCTGCCCAGTAAGACGTGGTCGCCTGTGGAACACTTCCGGTAAAAGGCACTGTGGGAAAAGAGTTTATATGTGTTTCGCCGTAAGGTTGAACCCGAGGAGTAGTAAAAGTGTTATTGGTGTTCATAATATCACCGTATGAATTCAACCCATACTGAGATATGTAAGTCGGACGTTCATACGCACTCCCATTGAGGGACGAGTAGTGTTTCAATGGGGATAACGGCAAGGAGGAATGGCTGATCCCGGGTCGACAGGATTCATCAGGAAAGGTCAGTGAGCATGGATCTCTGTGAATGGAAGGCGGGGGGCGACTGAAAGCCGTGCCGTTCATTGTGGAGTAGGAATCGGTAGCACCATGTCGATTCTCGTCCATGCCTCCAACATTGTCACCCTCGTCTGTTGATAAATGAAAATATTGGGGTAAATGTGATTCCATTTGAAGAAGCAAGAAATGCATATTATGAGCATGTTTTACTTTTTAGAGCCTCTGATTCTCTATATATGCAATAACAAAACAGGCCTTTTTAATGAAATTGATGTAATTTAAAAATTAAAAATTAATGATTTTTAAAAAACGTTATTAAATAGGAAAAATGTTCACCATTACTGTCGAAGGATCCTTCATCAACTTTTCTCTTTCGACCTTTCGGGGAAACCAGATGTTTGGATGATGGTGTCCGTACCTTGGCTTGCGTTTTTATTTCCTCTAAATTCATTCACAAAAGTTTATGTAAATGCATTCAATTTTGCAAACGAGGGAAAAAACAAATATTAAAACGTATTTTGTTTTTTCTGAGGTCTTCAAATGATCAATATACTCAGTATATATGTACATATTTTTTTAGTTTTCTAATATATTGACCATTGTTGACAATTTTTTAATTAAGAAACGTAACAATAAATCTTACACATTTTTTCCTATGCGTTTTATTACTTTATATTTTTTTAACAATGAATGCAATGGAAAACCAGCTTTACCTGCACATTTCATATACTTCTGGACAGCCTTCTGTAGAGTTTTATCTGTGACCTGATCGTGTTGTGTTTCCATTACAAGAAATACGTACTCATCAAACATCATGTGAATCAGATGGAAGGCACCTGATGAAAAATAACAGTAAGAGGAGTCACATGGACAAGTAAAAAGAATAATTAACCACGACAAGGAGCACACGGTGGAATGAAGACATCGGGATGCTTACTTCTTCGTGATACCACTTCTTATATTTTTTTTAGGTTTGTGTTTGCTCTAGATTTGCACTCGGTTTATAAGTCAGACCTACGGGTCAATTATACTGTTTGATATCTCATACTTAAGAAAGAAATGCGAGAAAAACCGGGAGGAATAAGTCAGAGGATTGAGAAAAATATGGTAAAAGATTAGTAAAATAATCAAATAGTACCTAAATTATTGTAAAAAAAAAATTTAATGATGCCACAAATTTATTTGTACAAATACTTTGATTCAATTAAGAAAGATAAAATTAGATTTTCAATTTATAATGAAATAATATTTTGAATTAGATCTTTCTAATTTTAAAATTAAAACGTACCAAAACTTGTTGCATTGTGTAATGTTAAATCCCTCATCAACAGAGAACCTATGATTTCCCAGTGTAGAAGGAACTTGGAGGCCGTTTCTTTAAATGATTTATCTTTGTCTTTTAAAGGCTAAAAAGAAAAATAACTATCTTGTATAAGGTAAGAATGGAATAGTTTGCTTTAATAAATATAAGATACGCTGACTATGAACGGATTTTTTGGGGATGAGTTGTCAAAGCAAATGTATTTTCAGTTCAATTTAGAAATTTATGTTAATTTTGTTTAAAAAACAATATAAATTGTGTAAATAAATATGATAATAAAACAAATACGATAATAAATTGTATTGTTAATAAAATTTAGATTATAAAATCCGGTTGTTACGATTTAATACACGTCGTTTAAAAGAAAAAAAAAAGAGTAGCCAAAATATGTAGTGACAATATATTGGATTTATGAATAAATATCTTATTTAAATAATTACCTGTAAAACACGTTTATCAATTATTTATTATGTAGTGACAATAAATTGGATTTCTAAATAAATATCTTATTTAAATAATTACCTGTAAAACACATTTATCAATTATGTTATCCAGCCATTCTGTGTAGCCCTCAATTGGTGCTTGCTTAGTCAGCAAATTCTGAAATTCGTCGAAACCTAAAATCGGAAGCGTAACACTCTATGTCTATTTTGTACTAAAAGTGCGAAACATTTTTTTTTATTTAAAAGTACGCCTTTGTTCAATCTTCATTATCGACATAAGTCCATTTAACTCCAAAAAATAAATATTAAACTCTGATTAATATTTCCGAAATAAGGTTGCAGCTGTTGCATACAAAATGCCCTATTGTATCATTTTTTCCCTGCAACAGCTGGTTTTTCTTAAGGATAAATACATGTAACACACTTTTCTTTTTCTTTTTTTAGATAGCAATATTTTTTTTCATAAAATTATTGAATAATATTTTCCGGGTAAATTGGGAGAATGAATTAAGATTTTGTCATAGTGTCAAAAATATGTGCAAACGTTTGTGTAGAATTACATAGACAATGAAACAAAGTCGCACATCTAAGCACAAGTAAAAGAATTCTTAGTTTTAAAGAAAATATTTTAGGGATTGATTATTTAAAAAATAAAATAATCAATCCTTAATATATATATCTGTTCCATTCAAAATCAGTCAAAATAATTTATCAATCCATGCATCAACTTTTTTGTGTGTTATGTGTCCCTAAGAAATAAAGGAGATGATATTGAGTGAATGTAAATATAATATACTCTTATAGTACGTACAATCATAAATAACTTCTTTAAGACTATTGGTTGATTTAGGGGTTGTGAACCCCGCCTGACAACAGATCTCCGTCAGATCAATGCTTGAAACATCCTCCAGCATTCCATTCAAAGACTCTTGATTATGAAGGACACTTCTGGCTGTCTGCAAATGACGTCATTAACATTCATAATTTTTTTTCTTGAAACAGGAACCAATAACAT